TTTTTTTTGGTATAAATGTAGATTTACAGAATAATTGAGTAGATAATACATAGTGTTCCATATACCCACCCAACCACATACCCTCATCCCTCTCCACACAGTTTCCCATTATTAACATCTTGCATTAGTGTGGCACATTTGTTATGATTAATGAACCAATATTGATACATTATTATTAACTATATAGTTCATAGTTTAAGATTCATTCTTCATGTTTTATGGTTCTGTGGGTTTTGACAAATGCAGAATGACGTGTCCACCACAATTTCATACTGAATAGTTTCACTCTCCTAAAAATCCCCTGTGCTTCACCAATTTATCCCTCTCCCCTAAGCCCCTGGGAACCACTGATATTTTTACTGTTTCTATAGTTTTATCTTTTTCAGAAGGTCATATAGTTGAAATTATATAACATGTAGACTTTCAGACTGGCTTCTTTCACTTAGCAATATGTATTCAAGTTTCCTCCATGTCTTTTTGTGAATTGACAGCTAATTTTTTATTGCTGAATAATATTCCGTTCTATGAATGTATTTTAGTGTGTTTATCCATTCACCCATTGAAGGAAATCTTGGTCGCTTCCAGTTTTTGNTGTGGGCAAGTTTTGGTGAGGACATAAGTCTTCAGTTCAATTGGGTAAATAACTAAGAGTGTGATTGCCGGCTCATATGTTAAGATTGTGTTTAGTTTTATAAGAAACTGCCAAACTGTTTCCCAAAGTGGCTTACTATTTCGCATTCCCCCCAGCAATGAGTAAGTGTTTGTGCTGTTCCTCATCCTCCCCATCATTTGGTAGTGTCAGTTTTTTGGATTTGGGCCACTTAAATAGGTGTGTAGTGGTATTTCGTTGTTGTAATTTACAGTTCCCTAATGACATTTGATATTGAGCATCTTTTCATATGGTTATTTGCTATCTGTAATCTTCCTTGGTGAGGTCTCTGTTCACATCTTTTGCCCTTTTTAAATTGGGTTTATTCTCTTATTGTTGAGTTCTTTGTATATTTTGGATACGAGTTTTTCATTAGATAAATATTTGCAAAGATTTTGTCCCATTCTGTGGCTTTTATGTTTATTCCTTTAACAACATCTTTCACTAACAAGTTTTTAATTTTTTTCTTTTCATTTATTTATTTATTTATTTATATTTATATTTATTTATGGCATATGGATTTGACTGTCAGTGTTTGTGTACAGTATGTGATGATCAAATCAATATTATTAGCATGTTCATCATTACAAATCGTAATTACTTCTTGTGTCCCTTACCCAATTACTCCCTATCTCCCCTCCCCAAGTTTTTAATTTTAATAAAGTCCAACTTATTAATTTTCTCTTTTGTGGATTGTGCTTTTGGTGTCATAAATGAAAACTCATTGCCAAACCCAAGGTCACCTAGATTTTCTCCTGTTATCTTCTAGAAGTAATATAGATTTGTGTTTCATATTTTTGTCTAAGATCCATTTTGAGTTTTGTGAAAGGTTTAAGTTGTGCATCTAGATTCTTTTTTTTACATATGGATATCTAGTTCCAGCACCATTTGTTGAACAGACTGTCCTTCCTCCATTTAATTGCCTTTGCTCCTTTGTCAAAGATCAGATCCTTCCTCCATTTAATTGCCTTTGCTCCTTTGTCAAAGATCAGTTAACTACATTTGTGTCAATCCATGTCTGGGCTCTGTATTCTACTCCATTATCAATTTGTCTATTCTTTCATCAATATCACGCTATCTTGACTACTGTATAGTAAATCTTAAATTTGAGTAGTGTCAGTCCTCTAACTTTGTTGTTCTTCAGTTTTGTGTTAATTATTCTAGACTTTTTGCCTCTTCATATGAATTTTTGAATCAGTTTATTGATAATTATAAAATAACTTGCTGGGAGTTTGATTAGGATTGCATTGAATCATATGTCAAGTTGAAGAGAATTGACATCTTAACAGTAGTGAGTTTTCCTATCCATGAACATAGGATATCTCTCCATTTATTTAGATCTTTCTCTGAAGTTTCTTTCATTGGAGTTTTGGAGTTTATGTATTATTAGATTTGTGCCTAAATATTTAAATTTTTTAGTTCTAATGTAAATGGTATTGTGTTTTTAGTTTCAAATTCCAAGTGTACATTGCTGGTATATAAGAAGGCAATTGACTTTTATATATTAACCTTATAATCTGTGATCTTACTATAAACATTTAATAGGTACAGGAATTTTTTTGTTGATTCTCTTGGATTTTCTGTGTAGACAATTATGTCATCTACAAACACAGTTTTGTTTCTTCCCTCGCAGTCCATATACCTTTTATTTCCTTTTCTTGTCTTATTACGTTAACTAGGACTTCCAGCACAGTGTTGAAGAGGAGTGATGAGAGGGGACATTCTAGCCTTGTTCCTCAACTTAGAAGGAAAGCATCTAGTTAAGTATGACCTTAGTTGAAAGCTTTTTGTAGAATTTCTTTGTTAAGCTGAGGAATCCTCTCTATTCCTTGTTTACTGAAAGTTTTTATCATGAAGTGGGTAGGAGATTTTGTCAGATGCCTTCTCTGCATTTATTGATATTGTCATATGATTTTTCTTCAGCCTATTAATGTGATGGTTTACTTTAATTAATTTGCAAATGTTGGACCAGCCTTGCATATTTGGAATAAATCCTTGGTCACTGATTTTTATACATTGTTGGATTTAATTCACTAATATCCCATTAAGGATTTTTGCATTTATGTTCATGAGGCATTTTACTTCTTATAATATCTTTATCTGGTTTTAGTGTTAGAGTAATGCTGCCCTCATAGGATGAGTTAAGAAGTGTTTCCTCTGGTTCTGCTTTTTTGGAAGAGATTGTAGAGGATTGGTATCATTTTTTTCTTAAGTGTTTGATGGAATTCACCAATAAAACTATCTGGGCCTGGTGCTTTCTGTCTTGGAAGATTATTAATTATTGACTCAATTTCTTTAATAGATCTAGACTTATTCAGATTATCTATTTCTCCTTGTGTGAGTTTTGGTAGATTTTATCTTTCAAGAAATTGGTCTGTTTCATCTAAGTTATCAAATTCATAGGTGTAGAATTGTTGGCAGTATTCCTTTATTATCCTTTTAATGTCCATGGATCAATAGTGATGACCCATCTTTCATTTCTGATATTAGTAATTTATCTTTTCTCTTTTTTCTAGGTTAGCCTGGCCAGAGTTTTGTCAATTTTACTAATCTTTTCTAAGAATCAGCTTTTGGTTGATTTTCTCTGTTGATTTCCTGTTTTTAATTTCATTGATTCCTGTTCTAATTTTTATTAATTTTTTTTTCTGCCTACCGTAGGCTTATATTGCTTTTCTTTCTCTAGTTTCCTAAGGTGGAAGCTTAGATTACTGATTTTAGATCTTTTGTATTTTCTAACGTATGCATTCAATGCTATAATTTCTCTCTAAACACTGTGCTGAAACTTACAAATTTTTATAAGTTGTATTCTCATTTTCATTTAGTTCAAAATATTTTTAAATTTTTTGAGACTTTTTTGACCCTTGTGTTATTTAGAAGTGTGTTGTGCTTAGTCTCTCCTGACTCTCCCACACTGTGCTGCTCTATCACTCCTCTCCCTAAAGGTGGATTTCAAACTCCAAAATCTTGATTTCTGGATCAGCCTCCATAGCCAGGTTCAGAGCTTGCTAGACTGGGACATGGAGAATGAGTCCTTTCTTGCCTTCACCACAGCATACCTGCACTTAGCCAAGCAGAACCTTGCCAGACATAGACTCCGAATAGTCGAGCCACCAAAACTACCCCTGGAAGCTTGCTAGACTGGGACATGGAGAATGAGTCCTTTCTTGCCTTCACCACAGCATACCTGCATTTAGCCAAGCAGAACCTTGCCAGACATAGACTCCGAATAGTCGAGCCACCAAAACTACCCCTGGAAAAAAAAAATAATGCTGATGAAAATGGTCCAGGATTTGAGCCCAACCTGTGAATGTGGGTAAACGCCAACACCGTGTATCCCCCAGAAAGCTGGAGGTCCCAGAACCTAGTAGGAGGAAGGATCTGACAAACACACTCCCTTCCCCTCAGCCACTCCCAAAGGAGAAAGATGCCAAGTGCTCAGAGGCCACAGGGGTGGAATTGCTGCTGCCTTCCTCCAGCAAGCAGTCTCCCTCTTGGAAGCAATTTGTTTCTTCCTCCAGCAGCTAGGAGATGTGATGGCCTTCCTATTTGACCTTTAGCTTCAAGAAGCAAGAGTCAGCCCATGCCTTTGGAATTTCCAGCTATATTTCTGTTATTAATTTTTAGTTTAATTCCATTGTGATCTGAGAGCATTCTTTTTATGATTTCTATTCTTTTAAATTTGCTCAGGTACTGTATATATCCCAGAATGTGGTCTGTCTTGGTGAATGTTCCATGTGAGTTTGAGGAGAATGTATGTCCTGCAGTTGTTGGATGGAGATTCTGTAAATGTCAATTATGTCCAGTTGATTAATGGTTCTGTTCAACTGTAGCCTTACTGATTTTCTTTTTTTGTCTTTTTTCGTGTCCGGCAACGGATCGCAACCCTCAGTGTCGCGCCCG